AATCAAAATCTCGATAGGATACATCCTATGCAAAAGTTAGATATATATATATATATATATATAAAAGCAAAGTGAGTGCTTATTGTTGAATTTAGAATGTTTTATTTTAGTTTTTGAATTATATTAAAAAAAAATAGTAGTATTAATATAGCTAATAAATCTTAAGAGTTACTATTACATTTGGTGATTCTGAAGTGTTGATTTTGTAGCCATTCTTATTTTTGACGCATATAAAATAAATATAACTAAATCAAATTTCAGTGTTGCCATTTTTGCATTTAGCACCAAAATTAAAATTTTTAAACATGATAGAATAATTAATTTGATTAAATTAATCAGGTAGGTTTTGACCGTTAGTTTAAATCTTATATGGCAAGAAAAATGTTTCTATCAATAGATCGTGACACATATACCTTCATCTAATTAAAATCGAAAAAGCTCTGCTTTCACTTTAAAACTTAAAAACTCCAAAATAAAAAAGTTGCCATGTCTATTTTAAATTAGTGTGAGAATAATTTTTTTGAAAAAATTAATATAAAAGAAATTCTATAAATTAATATGTACAAAAGTTAATTAATTTTAATTTATGAAAGTATTTTTTTTTTCTTTCCATTTCTTTTTCGATGAAGTGCTTATGAGAAAGTTCATCGGATTAGACTCTAGTAAATTTTATTTTGTTAAAAATTTACACATGATGTTATATTATATCTAACACAAACTATCTAATCCTTTTTAACCCTACCTTGTAAGCTGTGTTTCATAAATTTAGACTCATTTGTGAAAGACAATGCTTGGACATGTGTATGCATTCTCAGAGAATGAAGAACAAAGTCCAATGAAAAACCATTTATAAATACTGAGAACCAAAAGTTGGCCAGCTAGCATGTGGGGTAGTGATCTATATATAGCTAGTGAAAATTGAGAAGAATAAAACAAGATATATATAGAACAAAAAAAGAAAAAGTGAACCTGAAGCATCTTGTTGACATTGCTAGCACCAAACACTTTGTGCACATTTGCAAACTTTTGGGGTTCATCCGATGGGAAATATGGAGCAAAAACACAATCTTGAGCACACCTTCTCCTGAGAAGCTTGCATGCAGCACAGGGTGAGGCTGCACCCTGTTTCCTACCACCACCTTCCTTCATCAAAAACAAACACTAGTACTAATAATCCTTTTTCTTCTTTTTTTTTCTTCTTCTTCTTCTATTTGAAACAAATTAAAGAGGGTGAAAAAGAGTGTCGGTACAAAGGAATGAGTAATAAGACATAACAAAGATACCCTCAGAATGGTGAATGGAAGAAGAAAGAATAAGACTTGGAAAGTGATCAACAAAAGTGAGAGACTAAAAAAAGAGTGAGGCATGTGGGAGAGGGAAGAGTGGCAAGCATTATATATAATTATAATTATTATAAGGTAAGGCCAAAACGTCAAAGGGAAAAAAAAAAGTGGAGGCACCACTACGTCACAATAGAGTAATGATTTTTAATCAATGAAAATATATGTATTATTTTTACAACTTTTTTTTTAAACATAACAAATGCACATTAATTATTACATGTGCGTCGGAGATTTATAATCAGACGCAGGCGTTGCTCAAAAAATGCCGTTAGAAAAATTTACATCTTTTGCATATCATGATTTTGCATATATTACGTACGTGGGTTATAAATTGATCATTCTCATTATATGAAATATTACATGAGTATTGGAAAAAAAAAATTAATTTAAAGATAAAAATAATAAATTAACAGAAAAAAATGTAACAAAATTTAGTTGATTTAAAAATATAAAGTTAAAATTTTAAAATGTTTTAATAAAACATAAAAAAAAATGTTTTAACGGTAAAATCATGTATCACTAAAAATAATACGATAAAGAATGTCTCGCTCTTAATCTCAACTCTCTAATTAAATTTAGAAAATGCCCTTGAGTAGAAATGACTCAAATGAGTTTATTAGATTTATTAAGTGAGATTTTCAGTTTAAATTTTATAAATAAATATTAAAAAAAAGTGACTAAAATGAAAGTCTCCACTAAAATATGGCATTGAATAATTGGTGTGCCGTTTTGGTAACAAAAATGATACATTCTCCGAAAGTAACCTCCGAAAAGCATTCCAAAAATTAAAATATTAATTTAAATTATAAAATATTAAATTAAATAATTATTTTATAATAAATTTATTAAAAAATATTAATAAAATATCATTTAGAAGATGATTCGGCCTCCATTTTCAGAGGCTGTAGCGGTGTTCTTTTGGTAATCGGATGAATGTTTTAAGGCAGTAGAGATAGATTATTTTGATAAAGAATGTACAACAAATGGTTAAATAATTTGTTCAATTAAAAAAGATAAATTTGAAATATAGAAAAGGAAATAAACACAAAAAAATTGATGTTGCACAAAATATTATTATTTCTTTAGCAAAAGTAGCTTAAAAGCTGGCTGGAAGTTGAAAAATTAACTAATAGTTGAATTAATATTGTTAAATTAATTTTTTAATTATAATTGTTAGATAAATTTATCTATGATGTAAGTTATAAATTTAAAATAATAGATAGATATTTATATCATCTATCTACAATTAGATTATATATAAATAATTTTTCATTGTAACACGGTATATTTTTTTAATTAGTATTGATTTTATTGAATTATATGTTATGGTGATATTGTTATATATTGGTTGAGAAATTCTGAGAATTTAAGAATTCTCGTTAGTTTTAGGTATTTAAAGGTTTTTTTATTTTTTGGATAGTCTAGTTTGATCTAAATAAAAAGATATATAAGATTTTTTTTAAAGCTTAAGCTTCAAAAATTCATTTGTAAAAAACCTTAGAGATATAGCAGAGAGAGGGACTATGAAATTCTAAAAATTCTTCTTCTTTCTTATCTCCCATGGGTGTAGAAGATCATAATGACTAGTAGGTTGGTGATTCACGACATTTGGAGTTGAGAATTTAAGTTGGTGTGGAGCTTTCGAGATTAGCTCTGAGTCGTTTATCTTCCTTCTTACTCATTTATCTTCGATCCAAAGGTAAGGAAGTTAGAACTCAAAACTTCTTGTTTAAGTTGGTGTGGGGCTTTCGAGGTTAGCGGATTCATTCTTCTTCTTCCTTCTTATTCCTTGTTTCTCTTTGATCCGAAGATAAGGAAAGCTAGAACTCAAAACTTCTTATTTAAGTTGGTGTGGAGCTTTCAAGGTTAGCTCATAGTTGTTCTTCTTGTTCCTTCTTCTTCATTTCTCTTCTGAGTTTTAGGTGGATTGAGCAATTTTGTGGTTCTACTAAGTGAAAATTTCATCATTATGTCGGTGTAGCTTGAAGGTGTTAGGCGTGATATGGGTTAAAGACTTTCTATCTCACTAACACCAAGTGTGGGATTGGTAACATTGGACGTAAGTTAGAGGAGAACCCTTTGACTTGGTCATGTCGGACGTGGGTTGAATGACGTCCGGCGTGAAAGTCTTGGAGATATATGTCTTGGATACTCTAGGCATGATCGAGATAGAGACTCTCTGCCTAAACGATGTTGGATGCCATTATGGTGATATGTTGGACTTGAGTCAAGCAGACACTATTTGCCTGAATCAAGGTCGGGCATGAGTTTAGCCACGTCAGACATGATTGCAATAGAGACTCTCTGCCTTATTCACATCGGACACAAGTTGAGTAGCACCAATTGTGGGCAAACTCAAGAGTTCTCCACCTCAATGATGCCAAACGTGGAAAGATTGGCATCGAGTGTGAATTGCCTTATGAAAATGTGTTGTTTTCTTGATGAAATGTTGAACATGTATGTGGTAGTTGTATCTATTACATGTTGTATGTCAATATATATTACTAGTTTTTATACATTGATTTGGGATAATGTATATTGATGATTATCTTGTAGACAATGTTGAGGTGATGATGTTGAAAATGTTTAAGGCATTAGGGTGTGTTGTGTTGATTAACTTAGGACTAGAAGGTGTGTTAAAAGTTGGATATCTCATTGTGAGAATATTATTGTGGTGCTCTACAAGTTTAGTTGTTGAAAATTGACTCTTGAAATAAATAATTGAGTCTCCTCTAAGACCTTAGTTGATACAATTTGTGATTAAGGTCTAGACATACCAACTATAAGTGACCACGATATAAGGGTCAAGTGGAACTATATTGATTTTAAAGTGACCAATGTTGATTCATATGTCATTAGGTTGAGTCATACGTGTACAAAGTGATCAAACGAGTAAGATACAAGGTTGGGAGCTAAAATTCCTAACTAAATACTAAAATGGGCATAATATTTAGAAGGTAGTCGACATACTAATCCTATAAGAAGCTTAGTTATATATGCTAATATTGTGGTAGACTCACATCCAAGTTGTTCTACCTTGACAGAAATACTAGATTTTTTAGTTTAAATGGTAAAATTCAAGAAACCATGTTGTGGATTTTTATCCAATTTGGTTATTGATCTAGCAGGTGTAAAAAAATCGTTTTGTTGGTTTGGTAGGTTAAGTCACTTAGAGATCTCACCTTTGTTGAAGGAGATCTTCGTAGTTGAATGCGTGATGACACAAGTAGTTGAAGTGTTATGAACATGATCTTTTGATTGTGGTGTTGTTCACATGTGATGTGGATTTGTTGTTGAATGATATGGTTGTGGTGTAAGTTGAAACTATTGTGATGTGATTAAGTTATTGTTATCTCATTAGCAAGTATACCAAATCATACGAGTAGTTCAATAATAAATATGAGTATTATCTCCCAAGAGACTTACGCAATACTTGACAAAAATCATTAATTATACTAAACTAAACTATCAAGAATGAAAATATTGATTGGTTGTAGAGAAGATAAAATGCTTAGACAAAGATAAATGATAATAAATCTTTTTGGTATTTTTACAAATACTTGGAATGCAAAAAATTGATTTTAACACAATAATGAAATATGTTGGGGTTTAACTTCACCAAACCATCTTCTCATACCTACAAACAAGCTTTAATCTAATTATAACTCATAAATTATCATTCCACTCACAAATATACATAAACCTTAATCCCTTACAAGTTCGAGTCTAGGCTTCTTAAATAAGTTATCAATTCCTTACATAACTTAACCAAGAACCCAACTTTAAGAGCAAGAGTTTATGAATGACTAATAACATTTACTATATTCTCAGAGGTAAAACACCATTAGCTGTTCTACTTCAATTCAAAGGTACACAAGAATTTTCTAATAACTTCAAACCTACAAAATCAAATTAAGGGGATCAAACCATAACAAGCATTAAGCCTAATAATATTGAATAACAACTGAGATTAATAACTTAGAATGTTAACATGAGAATAAGTATGATTACATCAACCCCCCAATAAGGGTGAACTTAGCTACACATAAACATGGAGCACAAGAAAAATATTGAGGAAATAAAGAAACTTGATCTTGAAGTCACGAGATCTCTTCCAACTGTTACACACACTCCAAGAAATGTTCCTTGTGATCTATCTTTGAATCTACCCTTTTTAGGTCATAAATCCTTTTGTCTCTTTTTATTAATGACATGTTAGCATTTTGACGCTGATTGTGAGATAGGAAATAATAAAATTTGACCTCTGGAGTTGCAACACTAAGCGTGAAATTCTACAATTCCACACTCAGTGTGGCAAAATGAATCACTCTCTATAAGGCTTATGTTGAGCTTGAGATTTCACGCTCAAAGCTAAAACTTAGCCAAATTTATTCTTCTATCTTGATGGTTCACCAAGCTTTTTACTTGCTTCTTTCGATGTTTCTCATCCTTTTTCCTTCTCATATACAAATTAATATCAAAATAAATATGACACTTATCAGTTGCTTACCTTTTTAAGGTTGTTAAATGTCATGTTGAGGTGTTATTGTTGCATTACTAAGTTGTATGCCATGAAGTGTTGTGTTGTGTGATTTACATGATGATATCGATAGTATAGTTGCATTTACTTTTATACTTGTTATATGATTATTATTTTAAATATTAATTTACCCTTGCATGTTTTTTGTGGTTGAACTATGATAATCATATTTTTATGAAAGTAGGGTAAGGATAGGTCAAAGGCAGAGATTAAGTTGAGAATCATGTTGAATGGTAATATAACTAGGTGCTACATATTTTGTAGTATTATTTTTACCAACAACTTAGGTTACATTTTTAGTTTTTGTTGTCCAAGACGATGTAATTTCATTAAAGAACACCCTATGATTTAGTTGTTTTATCTACGTATACATATATATATATATATATATATATATATAT